ACAACATCGGCAGCAGCAACAACATCAGCAGCAGCAGAAACAACGACACCAGTCACAGTCGACGAAGCACCACCAACACCCGCGCAACAGCTGAATCCGACTCAGCTTGAAGTCCACCGAAGCGCCAACCTCGTCGCCAGCTTTTACTCCAACTCCGACGCATATCAGCGTTCACCCGGACACCGCGCCTCTGAAGAGATCTGGCACGCACGCACAGGACATCCAAGCAACACGGTTTTGAATAACACGATAAGAGCAGGAGTCCTCGACAAAGATTCTCTACTTCTACCCGATGGCAGAGAACTCCAGAAGGCACGAGGGACTTGCCTTATATGTCCCGAAGCTGACTTACCTCATCGACCGTTTGCTTCACATCACAACCCGAGCGCTCCAGCGTACGCACCACTCGAAAAGGTCTATAGCGACATCCTCTACAATCGCGAACCAGGACAAGTCAACTACAACTACACCATCACCTTCATCGACGCTGCCACTCGATACGTCTGGCATCGCAACCTACCCAGCCGCGACATGGCGCTCGCAGCATTCGCCGCCTGGCTACCGATAGCAGAGAGAGAGTCTGGAACACAACTAAAAAATTTCCAGTCAGACGGAGGTGGCGAGTACACCTCTCAGCGCTTCAAGCAGTTCTTGGCGGAAAGGGGGATCAAGCAACTCCTCTCCCTTCCCTACGCACATCAGCAGCAAGGTGTTGCAGAACGACTGAACAGGACCCTGCAGAACAGCATGCGCAAACTGTTACGTGGCATGCGGCTACCCAACCACCAGTGGCCAGCAGCAATGGACCACGCTGTCATGCTGCACAACTTGTTGTCGTCGTCGTCACTTCCGAACAACGCATCACCGCATCTGCTGTGGACAGGGAAGCAGGGCAGCACGAAAATGTTACGAGTTTTCGGGTGCATGGTACAGTACAGACCCCCAGAAGCACGAGCGGGAAGATTTTCACAACGGGCACAGTGGGGACTACACCTCGGCATCGAGAAAAATTACAACGCATGGAGAATCTTCGACGTCCACACAAAGGAAACAGTAGCAGCACGTGACGTGATCTTCTACGAAAGACTCACCCTTCAGACGTACCTCGCCAACTTGCACGAGAATCGGGACCTCACCAGTGGTTTTCGTGGTGACCGAGCCTTCGCGTCAGCAGCGGACGAAGCAGACTGGGATGAACAGAACGTCGACAACGCCTCGGAAGAAGCCGGACCTCTCCCATACTGCTCCGTCGACGTGCCCATGGATGAGGATAATCCTCGCGACAGTAACAACGCCGAAATCTTCTACCGTTTCGCCGACGATGGTTACGTAACACCTGTGACAGTCAACACCAACGAAGCAGAAAGGGTAGGGCCAAATTTCATGCCCGACCCAGAAACGGGAGACGAAGCAGCTTATCCCGAGGATCCAGAACTCCCTCGATACTCAGAGACTGGGCTGCAAATCCTTGGTCTCGTCACCGCAGTCCATGGCGCAGACATTCCTAAGGAGCCTGCGACGGTTCAGCAGGCTCTGGGGGGGGAACACAGGGAGAAATGGCGTGAAGCTATGGACAAAGAGCTGAAGGCACTGGAGGAGCGCAACACCTGGAAAATTGTTCCCATCGGCGTAACTCAAAATAAAAACATTCTTACCGGGAAATGGGTCTTCTGTGTGAAGACGAAAGCTGATGGCACCATCGACAAATTCAAAGCCCGCTGGGTCGTACGTGGCTTCGACCAGGAGCACGGAAGAGATTACACCGAAACCTTCGCTCCGGTCAGTCGCCACACCTCACTCCGAATTCTCATCGCCGTCGCCGCCATGAAGAAAAAGAAATTGCGACAAATCGACGTTGCGAACGCATTTCTCTACGCACCTGTGGATGCAGAAATCTTCGTCGAACTCCCGCACGGCTCCCACGGCGAACCCAACCGAGTGTGTCAACTACTCAAATCACTCTATGGGATCAAGCAGGCACCGCGACTGTGGCAGCAGTACCTACACGCCCGCCTCATCCGCATCGGCTTCAAACAACTCCCGCATGACCAGGGCATGTATCGCCTCACAAAAGGAGGCGATTACGTCCTACTAATCGTCTATGTGGACGATCTCCTCTACATTGGGTCAACCGACGACATCGCCACGTGGTTCGAAGGGGAGCTCCAGAAAGACCTCACGCTCACGGTCTCTTCTACGGTTACGCAATACCTCGGGCTCAACATCCGTGAGGAAGAAAACGCAATCTACCTAAGCGCCGAGAAGTACGCCGACACTATCGCGAAACGCTTTCGTCTCACACCAAGCGCCATCTCCACGCCTTATCGCTACGCGTCAGGAACCGAAAAAGGGCAATCTACTCTACTTAAACCCGCCGGCATACGCGACTATCAGAAGAAGCTTGGATGCCTTCTTTTCGCAGCAGTCACATGCCGTCCCGACCTATCCTACTCCGCGAGTCAGCTCGCTACCTATCTCAAGAGACCCGAAGCAGAGCATCTGGCGGAACTCGATCGTGCTCTCCACTACTTCGTCAGCACCGCGACGATCGGACTAACTTATCACAAAAACGTGACTACACCGACCAAACTAATCGGCTACGTCGACGCCGATCACGCCGGCGACACCGACAACAGGCGCTCACGCACCGGCTATGTCTACCGCCTTGAGCCTATCGGTCCTATCTCCTGGCAGTCGAGCAAGCAGGAGTTAATCGCACTATCTTCAGCAGAAGCAGAATATATTGCACTCTGCTCAGCCACCAAGGAGGGACTTTACCTTCGCGAACTACTGGAAGAAGCGAAGCTAGCCGAGTTACCCAGCTTCACCGTGTATTGCGACAACCAGTCGGCAATTCGCATCGCCAACAAAAACGGCTTCGCAAACAGGACGAAACACATCGCCCTGCGCTATTTCTTCGTGAAGGACGAGATAGAAAAAGGGAAACTCGATCTGTCATACTGCCCAACATCCGAGATGGCAGCCGATTACTTGACCAAGAAACTCGGAAAGCAGAAGTTCGAATACTGCATGATGCTGACTGGACAAGGCCACGTCACCAGCAACGACACTCCAGAAGCGAAGGGGAGTGTTGGAAACAATAAGTCCTAAGTGCGCTTCTGTCGTATCAAAATCCAAGGCACCAAGCGAAGCAGTCCCAATCGAAGCATCGAGTCAACCTCGGAGGTTAGGGTAACCGCCTGGAGGTTACGAGAAAGTAAAAGGTCGCTGACCTTTGACTCGACAATCACAGCGCGACAGTTAAGGACACACAACTGACTCGTTACAGAGCAGTTGCCCGAGTCGCACTGTATCGAACCGCAACAGCAATACAGTTATCTACCTATCTATTCGTATTCCCTGTACTCTTATATAAATCCTTGTATTTGCTTGTTTAATTTAATCTACTTTGCTCTCACACACCAGTGCAAGGTCGGTTCACAATCCTCATTAAACGCTTCCGCTATTACAAGTTTCTACCCAAGATTTCTCCTCTGCAAAGATCCTAAGGGCTAATTTTTCAGCCCAACACAAGCTACGGCTAGGCACCACCACAAACGGGGATCGGGCTTTCCTTCCTTCCCTTCTCCCCTGCACTTCTCCACCTGTTTCCCCACCTGAGTTCCCACTTGCTGCCTCACATGCAGGAGTTTCCGACCGTCTCGAAATTTTGGCCGTTGCCAAATCCCCGAGCTCCGATAACGACACATTCCGCTTGTGCCTCAGGCCCGAGCTCGGGCTCTTCACAGGAAGCTTAGAAGGAGGAGGCGCCTCAAAAGCTGCTGCAGAGCCCCCGAGCTACAAGAGCGACACATTCCGCCTGCGCCTCTGGGCAGAACTCAGGTCAGAACTCGGGCTCTTCACAGGAAGCAGTCTTTGCGGCGCCTCAACAGTCGTTTCACGGCCACCAAGCTCCGATAACGACTGGTGTCGCCTGTGCCGCTGGCCCGAACTCAGGTCAGAACTCGGGCTCTTCACAGGAAGCTTAGAATGAGGCGGAAGTTTCCAGGAAGGACTGGATGGAGGCCTCATTGTGGTGGTTCGCGCAGTGAGTGGGGAAGCACGAGGAGAGAATGAGAATGCTGCAGCAGTTGCAACAGCACCAGCAGCAGTTACAGCAGCACCAACAGGACCAGCAGTAGCAGTTACAGCAGCAGTTGCAGCAGCACCAGCAGCAGTTACAGCAGCACCAGCAGCAGTTACAGCAGCACCAGCAGCAGTTGCAACAGCACCAGCAGGAGTTGCAGCAGCACCAGCAGCAGTTGCAGCGGCACCATCACCAGCAACAACAGCAGCAGCAACAACACCAGCAGCAGCTGGGACCTTCGCTCCCTGACTAGCCTCAGCAGGTTCAGCAGCAGTTACAGCAGCACCAGCAGGACCACCAGCAGCAGTTGCAGCAGTACCGTCACCAGCAGCAGTAGCTGCAGCAGCAACACCAGCAGCATCTGGGACCCTCGCTCCCTGACTAGCCTCAGCAGCTTCACCAGCGATCTTATCAGCGATGCTTCCTGCCAGCCTGCCTATGCCACCTGCAGCAGCACCAACGCCAGCAAAGGTCTCAGCAACACGGGTCCCAACAGTGGTGGTGGCAGTGGCAAAGAAGGGCTTTAAGTCAGGGTCCCAAGACACGTGCTTGCGAATTCTTTGAGAGGCCATGGAGGTGACGATTGGTCTGATGGAGGAGTGGCGAGCAGAGAGGGATACGGAGGTGGTGTGTGCGTGGGGAGGAGTGAGAACACCATCAGTAACCGCCATGGCTTCACCAACCACCCGACCAGGAGGCTTCGGGCTGTGAAGCCAGTCGTTGTTCTTTGCAATTGAAGAGAAGTCGTAGCTTTGGCTGTACCTATGCCTGCCCGCCTGCTTCCTTGCAACACTGCCTTTCACTCCTCCTCCGCCTCCTCCTCCTCCTTCTGATCCTGCTTCTGCTCCTGCTCCTCCAACTCCGCCTCCTGTCAAAACAGAAGACTTATACACACCGTTCCTAGTGACTCCCCTCACAATCCCTGGAGGGGAGGAGGCAGGCCCATGCTTGTACAGGGCGTTCGAGTTGGGAGTTGGCGAGAAAGTGAAGGACTGAGGAGGAAGGGGAGGAGCGGATCAAGGAGCGGGGGAGATACGAGGGGATCGCGGTGGGATAGTGAGAGGAGTGGGGTGAGATGCGGAAGTGAGACAGCGGGGTTGAGATGAGGAAGTGAGAGGAGGGGACCGAGATGGGGGACTGATCGGAGGGGCTGACGAGGGACTAAGAAGAGGGGATCGAGATGACGACGTGAGACGGGGGATTGAGGTGGGGGAGTGAGACGGGGGGATTGAGGTGGGGGAGTGAGACGGGGGGATTGAGGTGGGGGAGTGAGACGGGGGGATTGAGGTGGGGGAGTGAGACGGGGGGATTGAGGTGGGGGAGTGAGATGGGGGGATTGAGGTGGGGGAGTGAGACGGGGGGATTGAGGTGGGGGAGTGAGACGGGAGGATTGAGGTGGGGGAGTGAGACGGGGGGATTGAGGTGGGGGAGTGAGACGGGGGGATTGAGGTGGGGGAGTGAGATGGGGGGATTGAGGTGGGGGAGTGAGACGGGGGGATTGAGGTGGGGGAGTGAGACGGGGGGATTGAGGTGGGGGAGTGAGACGGGGGGATTGAGGTGGAAGAGCTGAAACCAGCATACGACCAGCAGACTCGGGGCTGTGAAGGCACTCCTTGGAAAGCATCATAGACGAGAAATCGTAGCTTTGGCTGTGCCTATGCTTGCTCACTCCTCCTCCTCCTCCTCCTCCTCCTCCTCCTCCTCCTCCTCCTCCTCCTCCTCCTCCTCCTCCTCCTCCTCCTCCTCCTCCTCCTCCTCCTCCTCCTCCGCCTCTTCCTGTCACACCAACAGGCTTGAACACGCCGTTCCAAGTGGCTCCCCTCACAACGCCTGGAGGTGAGGAGGCGGCTGTATGGTCATACAGGGCACTCGAGCTAGGGCTTGGCGAGAAAGTGAAGGACTGAGGGGGAAGAAGAGGAGGGGATTGGCTGAGTGATGAGACAGAAGGAGGTATGTCCGCTGCGCCTCCTCCTGCTCCTCTTCCTCCCCTCCCCTCTTCCTCCCCTCCCCTCTTCCATGAATGTAACACCAGAAAGAATCTTTCGGGAAACACCCAAAGGAATTGTGCTCATGCTTCTGCGGCTGGTTGCTGCTACAGTGCCTGCTACAGACCCTTTAACAGTGCCTGCTATAGCATTCAGGCTGGCAACGACAGCAGCACTGGTAACCGCCGCTGCTCCAGTAATCTGAAGCTTTGCCGCTTCTGCCGCTGCTGTTACACCCTTGGTAGCAGCACCAACCACCGCCCGACCAGCAGTCTCAGGGCTCTAAAGCCAGTCTCCATTCTTCATAAAAAAAGAGAAGTCGTAGCTTTGGCTGTACCTATGCTTGCCCGCCTCTTTCCTTGCCGAGAATTCGCCGGGCTCGGTTGCAGTAGTCAGTCGCCGTCTCCTCGTCACCCATACGCAGGTGCGTCAGCTGTCCCTCCAGCTGGGCGATGAACAGGTCGTCGGTGACCTGGTACGTCGACTCAATGAAGTGCCACGCCTGGTGGCCGGCGTCGATGTGAGAAAACTAGAACGAGAATGAATGAACTATGAAACAGTTGGGTACAAGTACTAACCCTAATTGGGTTGTACCCCTTATGGGCTACCCCAGTACAGCCTACACAAATGCATAAGCTATAATGTTCTGACACACCCCCATAGGCAAAGTGGGGGAGAACAAGGGGTCACAAGACCAGTCAAGCAAAGCAAAGCAAAACGAGCTCAGGGTGAATCACAAAGTCACCACACATTCCGAGCACAAGGTCAAGGCCACAAGGCCAGTTCACATGCAAGAGTACATATATATATAAAAGGCTAGACAAGCAAGAGCAGGTGTATATATATATGTAATAGTACAAGCAAGGTCAAGAGGTGAGCAAGTGAGGCAAGGCAGGCACAAGGCCCAGCTGAGTACAGAAGCGCTGATGATCACAAGGCGCAAGTGCCTTGGTGAAGATATCAGCAGTGTTGGCCTCAGAGGCCACGTACGCAAGACGCAGCTGACCACGCTGCTGTAGCTCACGAGCAAGGAAGTAGCAAAGAGCAATGTGCTTCGTTTTGTGCTCTAGTCTCTGCTCTCGACACAAGGCCAGCATGGCCTTGTTGTCAACGTACAGCACTGGAGGAGAACGAGGCACCTCTCCGAGTTCAGTCAGCAGGTAGGTGAGCCAGCGAAGCTCCTGTGCAGCCATGGCCCCGACGTAGATCTCAGCCTCACAACTGGAGCTGAGAACAGAAGACGATCGGGTAGCCCGCAACGAAACAGAGCTGGAACCAAGGCTGAAGGTGTAACCCTGTGGCGACCGCTGCGTAGCCAGGTCATCAGCCCAAGAAGCGTCTGCGTGCCCAGTGAGGACCACTGGACTCTGCCCTCCAAGCACAAGCCCCGTGCCCGACGTACTGCACAAGTAGCGCAACACCCTCTTCGCTGCAGCCATGTGCTCCGGTCTGTGTCTCCCAGGAGCAACATAGCGTGCGAGAATGCTAAGAGGGTATGCTAGGTCAGGTTGGGTGCAGGTCATCAGGTACATGAGGCAGCCAACAAGCTCTGGGTACGGGCCACTCGACTCTACGGACTCATCCGAAGGCAGAGCTGAGAGCGAGTGGCGAGTAGGCAGAGGAGTGGCCTGAGGTAAGGAGTACGTGAAGCCGAAGCGCTGAAGGACCTGCTGCACCATGTGTGACTGAGTCAGGGTAATGGTGCGGCGTGCTTTGTCCCAGGTGATCTGCAAGCCAAGGTAGCTACGCAGTTCACCCAGGTCTGTGCACGTGTGTCTCTTCTGCAGCTCGGACTTCACGTGGGCGAGTCCAACAGAGTCAGTTGTGGCAAAGACCAAGTCGTCGACGTACACGAGGATGTAGAACGATGGCAAAGAAGTGTTGATGCGCACAAACAGCGACGGGTCGGCAGTAGAGGGAGCAAACCCAAGAGCCGCAAGCGTAGTCCTCACTATGTCGTGCCACTCACGTGGTGCCTGGCGGAGACCGTAGACTGGCCGGCGGAGGCTCCACTAGGTGCTAGGAGGAAAAGACCCAGTGAAGCCAGGTGGGCGGCGCAGCCAAATCTCCTCGTGCAGGTTGCCCTGCAAGAAAGCAGTGCTGAAGTCAAGAGAGTGGAGCTCGTAGTCACCGTGAGCAGCTACGTGCAGCAGTACCCAAAGAGTGGTCATCTTTGGGGTGGGAGAGAAGGTCTGAAAGCAGTCAACTCCCTGCCGCTGACTGAAGCCACGAGCCACGTAACGCGCCTTGAAGACAGACGAAGAACCCGGCGGCCGCTTCACCCTGAAAATCCACATGCCACTGACGATGTTCGCCCCACGAGGGGGAACCTCATCAACGTAGGTGCCTGTCGACTTTCAGGAAGCCATCTCTATGTCCATAGCTGCCTGCCACTGAGAGGAGTAGGGACCCTCTATCGCCTCCGCGTAAGAGCGCGGAGTCGGGATATCAAGTGCATCCGGGTCTCCCTCAGGGGTAAGTAGTACGGACATGAGATGAGGTGAAGCAGCAGCCAGACACTGGAACTCCTCCTGCCTGTCCTCAAGGACGTCCGTGCCAAGGGCACACTCACCGCCGACGGACGGAGGACACACAGACTCAGACTCAGCGACAAGACTAGCAGCGTGGTTTAGGCGATAGCGAGCAGCAAAGTCGACGAGCTCAGCAACTAGGGCAGACGCAGCACTGGACTCAAAGGAAGGGTCAGTCACGACAGTAGCAAGGAGACGCGTGACATTGGGACTGGCAGCACGAAGAGAGTCCGACTCCGGGTCGGGAACAGCAGGAAGAGAGGACTCAGGAGGAGAAGGCAAAGGGGCACGCAGAGGAGCAGTGGACGGACGCAGAGAAATCCGGTGCGTGCCAGGGACAGGACGAGGAGGCTGACGCGAACCACGACCACTAGTGCGAGCAGGACGGACAGGCGACACAGGGCGAGACGCAGGCTCACAACGCTCAGCAAGACCTCCAGTAGGACCAGTGTTGGGAGTAGGAGCAGGCACTGGGGAGGCCGGCTATAACTGTAACTGTGACGGGACAGGCTGTGGACACTCTAAGGGAGGAGGAGGACCAGTAGAAGGCGAGAGACCAAGAACCTGCTGAAGGAGCGGAACGAAGTACGGCCGAGGCCGCGCGGCGACTCCAGACACAGCAGGGACAGCACCAGTACCCCTAGCGGCAGCACCTGCGCCAGCAGCACCTCCACCTCCAGTACCTCCAGCAGCACCAGTAGCACCCCCAGCAGGACCGCCTCCAGGACCGACAGTAGTAGCCTATGCGCCAACACCCTCAGCAGCTCCAGCTCCAGTCGTACCCGCAGGCCCAACAGCTCCAGTACTCCCAGTACGAGCACCTCCGGGACCCGCGGAACCAGCACCCTCAGCAGCCGAAGAACCTCCAGCTGCAGCAGCACGCCTCCAGCGCCTGGCAAACCACCCGCGCAGCTCCGGTGGAGAGAGTGGCTCCCGCCGAGACGAAGCACCCAGAGAACCTCCAGGCCCAGCACCCCCAGACGCCACACGAACAGGCCCAGCTCCCGCAGGCTCCACACCCCCAGGCTCAGCACCACCAGACTTAGCACCCCCAGGCTCAGCACCCCCAGGCGTAACACCCCCAGGCTCTGCACCCTCAGGCTCAGCACCCCCAGGCTCAGCACCCCCAGGCGTAACACCCCCAGGCTCAGCACCCCCAGGCTCTGCACCCCCAGGATTAGCACCCCCAAGCAGAGCACCCACACGCTGAGCACCCCCAGAGTCAGCACCCATAGGCTCAGCACCCTCAGCAGCACCAGAGTCACCAGTAACCTCGACAGGCTCGACTGCGTCTACCTGGGACACACCTGAAGGGGCAGGACCCTGAGGGGGGAGGGGGTCTACCGGGGGGGGACCTGGTACAAGGAAGAGCGGAGGCGGGGGAAGGGACGGAGTGCGGTAGGGGAAGAGGTGGTAGTAGGGGACTAACTCGTCAAACGTGATGTCTTGGGAGGACAGAACACGGCGAGAGGTGGGGTGGTAGAACTGCCACCCAGGCGCGTCAGGGGGAAGCCAAGGAAGACGCAAGGAGCAGCACGAGGGGGCAGCTTGTCCGCAGACAAGTCGCGGACAAACGCCCGAGATCCCCAGACACGGAACGCAGACGCATTGCCAACCTTCCCTGTCCACAGCAAAGCTGGGGAGGTCTCCGGCCTGGAGACCCTTGGGTGAAGGTTGATCTGATGCGCCGCGTACCGAACCGCAAACGGCCACAGAAAATGGGGGGCAGCCGCATGCATCATTTACGTACGAGCGACGTCCATGACCATGCCAATGCGGCGCTCAGCAATCCCATTTTGCTGTGGAGAGTCCGGAAGCGTGAAGGTCTGACGGATGCCTTGTGCACGACACTAAGCTCGTAGAAGGCCAGAGGAGAACTCTCCGCCTCTGTCAGAGTGCAGACGCAGAATAGGAAAGTCCGAGCCGAAGCTCGGCCTGAGCTGGAGACGAGCTGCGCGGATCCAGTCGATCATCACCTCAGTGACATCACCCTTGCTATGCAAGGGGAAGACTGTGGTGTAACGCGAGTAGTCGTCAACACCGAGCAGGAAGTAGCGCTCGTGACCCTGTCCACGGACGCGGGCTGGGCCCCACACGTCCATGTGAAGCGTCTGCAGCGGGGCCTCTGTCCGAGGAAACTGGGAGGAGTGAGGGGCAGCCCGCTGCCGCCCCTCGACACAGTGGAAACAGGTAGTTCCAGGCCCCGGAGGAAGGGGAGGGAGGGACCGGAAAAGACCAGAAACAAGGAGACGGGAGGCCATGCATCTAAGACGAAGCAGAGAGGGGTGACCAAGGCGGTGGTGTTAGAGGAGAGTCTCGTGAGACAGGAGGCGACACGAGCAGGGGGCAGACTCAGGACCAGACCTGGACGCTGCAGCAAACACCTGACCCGACATAGCTACCTGACCAGACACAGGGACAGGAGGAGACGCAGTGGTCAGTGTGTACAGGCTCGACCCCGGCCGACGAGTAAACTTGGCCAACTGTCGCCCCGTCCGAGCGTCCGTGCGGTGGGTCACCCGCTGGCTCGCAGGATTGAACTGGTGAACTCCCCCA